GTTCGATCTCTTTCTAGGAACCCTTACTTTTTAACCCCTAGGCTCCCTTTAGTCTAGGGTAGATCCGCTCTCGATTTACCTATAAATAGTAGCGATTCCGTCTCTTCCTCCTATAATCTTTCCTAACCGGTATATTTAGTATATACCCTATTACCTTCGAAACGGCGTCCTCTCGTTTAGTAAATTCTTATTACTAACCCTTATTCCTTTATTTATTATTACTAGAGTATTTTCGTAGACTAGTCCTACTAATATAATTACCCTTACGGTCGGCCTATAGGTAAGTCGGTCCTTTACGAGGAATTTGAATAGGTACTTATCCGGTTAAAGAATTTCTATCCTAAGTATAGGCTAGAGTAGGACTAAGATATATATTTCGAGGTAAGTTAAATTACTCTAACGCTTTTCGTTAATAATACTAAATCTAGTATAGCTAGTTAATCGGTTTAGTAAAAAATTAGAATAGATTAGGCGAATAGATATATTCTAGATAATAGATATTTTAATACGAGTAGAATAGGAGCGGTTTATCCGATAGTACGAACTAGCTACGCTTTAAGGGTACCTTATTTCCTTAATATACCGGAATACTTATTAGGAAATTTTATCGGTTTTTATCTATTTCTAGGTAAGTTACTCTTCTAGATACTAGTAATATCTAATAGTAAATATATTAGGAATTTGACTTAGTAATAAACCCTATTAACCTTAGTACCGATGAACTTAGATCGGTAAGTTAATAACTATATATTTAGTTCTTAGTTCTTACTCTCTATAGTTTATTCGAGCTTTCGGGGATAACCTAGAATAGCTCTAGAAGCTTACGCCGACCTAAGTAAATTAAGTTAGATATAGGCTTTCTAGTACTAGATTTATTAATATCTTTTTCGTATAAGTACCTATCTAGGATAATCCTACTATATCTCTAGGTAAGAAGTACTTAAATTTCGATCTTTTAAGCCTTATCCTATCGAAATATTCGCTACTTTTAGAGAGTACTATTATACGGATACCTTATAGCCTACTCTATCTACTCTACTATCTTCTAATAGAGTATATCTACCTATAGATAATCCGGAAAATCGAACCTCTTCTAGTAATAACAAAGATAATTAAACGGACTAGCTTTTATATCCCTTAGAGACTCTAGAGAAACTAAATCCTACTTAGTCACTATTTAGAATAGCGTTATCCGAAAACGTATCTATACCTAGGATCGAGGGGGGTACTTCTTATTATCCGATACCGCTTACTATATATTATTCTCCTAACGAAAGCGTACTACTATTACTAGGGGCTAGTCGAGCTATATCTACTTAGCTATATATAGGAAATACTTTATACCTTCCTATCCTTATATATAGGCGAAATAAGGGATACCCGATACCCTCGACCGTTTCCGTTAAAACCCCCGCGAATTAGAGAGTAATATACCTTCCCCGGATTTAGAGCTACTATAGATAGTAAAGTAAGCGACACGAATAGACTATCTAGCGCCCTAGAGAATTAATTAACCGTAACAGAAATTACTAATAGCTTAAGGTATACTACTCTTATAATATTATAATCTTATAATATTTTACTTAGGAATGATCGAATTTAGGAGATCCTTAAGGCGGAGGCTTATCTCCTGCCGTAGGACCTTAATAGTATACTAAAACCCCTATTCGATTATTAGCGTAAATACGGCTCACTCGATTTATATATACTCGGGCTTCCTATATAATAGAAAGGTATATAGGTAGCTATCGATTACCTACGAGTTCTAGATATAGATACAAAATCTCCTTATCTAAACCCCGTTACGAAGTGTATTAGGTATATATTTCTTTATTTTAATTATAAGGAGCTTTATAAATATCCTAAAAATTACTATCCTACTCCGCTATTAAAGCCCTATACGAACTACGTTCTAAATTATATCCTCGATACCTACCCGGATAACCTACGCCTATCTAATCCCCGGCAGAGTCGCTATAATAAGATTACTATATACTATATCCGACGAGGTAAATAATAGTAGATACTTATAGGTAACTAGGGAGCTAGTATACTACTAGTAGGTAATAGTTCTCTATACGATATTATATACGTATTTCTACTAAATTATTACGCGGCTTAGCTAATCTTTACTAGGTATATTTATATATTTCAGGAGCGTCAGATCTAAGTTTTTATTACTTTCGTCTAGAAGACTCGGCTAGGCACTATTCGTATCTTCGAGGGATTAGAGCCTATAGTTAAACTCCTTATATTTAGGGAGATCACGTACGATCTGCGTAAGGTCCTTTTCGATAAGGATATCGGTCTTCTTAGATCGAAAGACATAGTAGCTATCCGCGAGGATAATACAAGAGCCCTAGCCTCCTACTAGTCTAAAAGTTCTTAGGAAGTAGCAGATATTCAGAAGAGTATAAGTCGAAAGTTAACTAAGTTCTATAGCTAATATACTAGTAACGTAGCACTAACTTAATAGCTAACTCTAATATCTTCTGTCCTTAGTAAATAGCTTTATCTCGGTTAAGCCTATCCTCTGTTTTTTTGTCTCTTATTACCTATAGCTTTCGTAAACAAGATACCTAGAATAAAATAAATATCGATTATTTACTTATCTTACTTATTTTCCCGTCTGCTTCCTTTACTTATAGTTTAATCTCTATATTTCCAGACTACGTATTAGTTAGTCAAAATAATCAGTAACTAATAGCCGCACGCTCTTATAATCGTCCGGCTTAATCCCACCAAAAGCCCGTTATATATAGTCATATATAGGACTAACCTTAAAGTTACAGAACTTCCGTAGGAGTCTACTTTATGATATTCGTGATAACTATAGGCCACTATTAAACTTATAGCGCGCTAACGAGAATCTTTACTTATTAGGACGCTAGGCGTTGTTTGGCTTTAGCTTGAAACTTTATAATTATTTTAATTTATATTTAAAGGCTTCGAAGATATAGTATACGATATGATAGTAGGATAATCAACGAAATAAATCATAATATAGAATTAAAAAATTTAATTTACCTAATCGTACTTAAATTAATGGTATTCGTTGATATTTACTCCCTATTTTCCGTAGAAGTAATAATAGTATATAGCCTAGGTACTCTCTTCCGATCTTAGCGTATATAAGTAAAATATACAGGTAGATATTAGCGTAAACCACGCGAGGCCGATCAGATCGCCTAGGGACTATCAGATTTCTATTAAAAAGCGCTACTAGAAACGAGTAAGTACGGTTCTAGATTAAAACTAAGGATTATATACTTTTTTTAGCTCCCTAAATAAGCTAGCTAAAATCGTAGCGGAGAGAAAATCGAGGGTAGCTAGGTATATTTACTAGCGGTTAAGATTATTAATACCGACTACGCCGTTATCTTTAGTATATTTTTATATTAATTCTATTATAACTTTAGATATAGGAGTTAAATCAATCTTATAAAGTCTACCTATCTATCGGATAATATAGTAGTCGATACGTACTAGGATTATAGTTAGTAGGTAACCCCTAATATACGTTTATAGATTTAGCTTACTAATCTTTACCTCCCCCTTAAGGCTTATTAGAATACTAGAATAATCTAAAGATAGGTAATAAAAATTTTAGGTAGCTAGATATAATAGTCCCTTAAGAAACTAGATATAATTAGCGAATTAGTATCCGTTTACGAGAATAATTAAATAATAAACCTAGGATATAATCGTAGCTAGTTCTAGCTAGTTTAGGAAGGCTTTATAGGCAATAACGTAATCTAGTATAAGCGGATTAAACTTACCTAGAGTATATAGGGAATCGGAGGTATAAAAATATTCCTAAATAGAAACCACGTTCTTATAGGATATAGAACGGAGAATCTCTAGGATTCTATTAGTATCTTTACTAGGATATCGACGGATTACCCGAGCGGTATAATAATCAGAGGACTGAATATAAATAGTAATATTACTAGCTAGATTATATTCGTAATATAGCTTAAAAGTATCCTAGGGTAATTTATCTCGTATAAATCTATCCGAGCCGATAGTAGTCTCTAAACGGCTAGCGCCCTAGAGAGCTAAGTTCTTAGGAGAGCCTTAGATAACCTTACTAGTAGGCTTAGAGAGAGATAGCGTAGTAGCCCTTTTAATCGGGTAGGAACTTAGTTAGAGAGGACCTAGTTTAAGCTTAGGTTCGGTTACTAGTAACGCTATACGATTATCTTTATATAGAGATTATAGTATAAGGGGAACCTTATTAGTTTAAATTTTTATCGCTCGTTTATTATCGAATAGCTATATAATAGGGATAATAAGTCTTCTTTTAAAGGTAGTAAAATAGGTAATAGAGTATATAAATACTATAAGACGATACTATGGTTTTAAATCATTCTCCTAGTAAAGAGGTATAGGGCCTAATAGATACTACAGTATATTATACGTAGGATACCGTAATAGTACCGTAGTAGGATATACTTTTAGGTATATAAATAGATATAACTAGATAGAGCTTCCGCCTATTATTTTCTACTTTCTGTACTCCTATCGTCCCTTAATAAGTCGATCCTTTTTTACCGATTAAGAGGTATAGCTAGTAACAGAGCGGCGTCTAAAATATATAGGAATAGCTAAGATTAGCGTTAGTTAGATTTAATTCGAACCTCCTTTATCCCGCGACCTAGATTTAAAGAACTTAGAACGACTCAGTAGTATCTTCCGGAAGAACCGTTATCGCCGCCTAGATATCGGTAATTATATCCCTACGATTATATCTTAATATAACCTTACGGATATATTACGGAAGGTAAATATTCCGCGGTAGTTACTACTAACGAATAATACTTATTAAATTCCCTATCTCGTATTTATAGTAGGGTAGCTTTAGGGTTTATATAGCTGTTACCGTATATAGATAGGAGCAGAGGTACTTCCTCCGGCTAATCGCTAGTAGACTATTAACCTCTACTTAGATAGTATATCTACTTTAGTTCTTATATTTCCCTACTAACTATTAATAAAGATATCGGCGACGAACTAAGAATCTCTTTAGTAGAAGAATACGCGAATTAGAAGAAGCTATCCGACGGAGAGATTTACCGTAAGATTAGATAGTATAAGGGCGAAGATAACGAGGCTTTTCGGGAGCGATAGTTCGTAAGACTATTACCTAATAATTAAGGACGCTTAGATTAACTAGATAATAAAAGAAACCGCTGTCTCCGGCGTACCTTCGACCGGTTACTAGTAATTCCCGGGCTTTAGCTAAGCGGAATAAGAATTAGTTTACTCTATCGGTTAATAGCGTCCGGCTATATTTAAGTAAGTTTAGTCTTTATATTCTTTTCGCTTCGCTAACTATATATCTATCTAATCCGTAGGAGATAATAACCTATTTAGATTATATCTAGAACTTCTAGTCTTCTTTAGTTACCTTAAGGCGTCCTTTAATAAAGAAGATTAATTAGGATACTATCGAAGCCCTATAACTACTCGTACCCGGAAAATCGCGTACTAACGCTAAAATAGCTTATAGGCTCGTCCTAGGTAGTTATATATTTAGGGAATTTAGCGAGGAAGAGAGGCGCGGTATATAGATATAGATAAAGGATTTTAACGGGCTTATTCCGTTATTATATACCTTTTTCGAAGATTTTAAATATCTAGAGAGCTACGCTTATTACGTTAAGCGACTTTTTAGTCCGTTAACCTCGATCTAGGAAACTATAAATTCGATATTTATTCTATAGCTAGATTCTGAAGAATATTATCTAGATACCGGAGTAAGTATTATTTAGACTTCGGAGTCTACTTTTCGGTATTAGTAAGCGACCGATATAGAGCGCCTCGAGATAGCCTACTTATAGGTATAGCTATATACTATACGGTACTATACTCTAATACCCCCGGACCTAAAGAAGGAGGACGATCTATTAGCAAAACTATCTTATATAAAGCTAGACTAGAGAGTAATCTACGAGATAGCCGAACTTACTCGCCGTCTCGGGTTTAAGTCTACGGATATCGATAGGTTAATTCAGAGTTCTCCCGATTATTAGATCGCGCGGTCGGCTCTACTATAGGCCCGAAAACTAGATCGGTATCGATACGACCGCGAGTAGTTCGATATCCTAGTTAGTCAGATCGTTAGTTATTTTAGATATACTATTCCTAACTAGCCTAACCGGTCGTAAGATCTTCTCGTAGATAGTACTATAAAGCCGCGGGTTCGTTCCGGGATACTATAAATACGAACTCAGAAGTAAGATAACTCTATACTCTTCCTAGACTATCTATATATAGATATTAAGATTATAGATACTATTATAAGCTTCTTTATCCGCCGTTATATTTATTTTATATTTTTCGGAAAGCCTATACGGTACAGACTCGTTCCCGATAGAGACTAACCGATAGAGGATGTATCTTAGTCTCCGCTATTTATAGAAGAGGAAGAACTATCTAATAGTTATATATAAACCATATATATAGCACTATTAAGCGTGCCGACTTAAGACAGATAAGAGGAGCCGTAAGGACTAAGTAGAGTACGATAAAGCATATTACAGGATTATTTAAGACGACGGCGAAGGCGTAAGGTTTAGATATATAGACTTACTTTATACCGCATAACCGAGAGGGGATAAGAACCTATAGAGCGGAACTTACCGAATACGGAAACCTAGGATTAGGATATATTAGATCAAAGCAGTCCTCGCGATAAAAATATTTCTCTTCCGGAATTAAATATCGAGATAGCTCCGATCGATTTAGCGATAGCTTCTCTATATAGTTCCTATTATAGTACTAGCCCTAGAGATATAGATACTACTAGTAATTATACGAGAATCTCCTTTGAAGTAAATATACCTAAGTAAGACCCAGGCGGAGGATCCTTGGCCGTAGCGCCAGATCCGCAAGATATATATAATAGTTAGATAGGGGTTAATAATACACTCCCGCCGGCGTCTCCAGAGTCTAAGGCAGACTATTCGTTAAATATTAGTAGCTATCCTAGGTAGCTAGGGTTAGATATATACCTTACCTATTTACGGAGAGTCTAGGAAGAGCAGGAACGATTAGAATAGGAACTAGAGCGTAAGCGGCTTAATAAAGAGCTCGGTCTATCTAACGAAGGGTAACTACCTCTAGGGGATTCGCCTCAATTTATAGATAGACAAAATTCACTAGTACCGGCCTCTAGTAACGAGCCCGCGGCACCTATATACGCGGATATCGAGCACCTAAGTTCTGCTCTAAACGTTACTAGTCACGATCTATCGCCAGTTTCCCGCCGTAAAGGGCAGCTAGAACCTATAGTAAAGCACCCGGATCAGAGGAGACCGAGTTCCCGGGATATTATTAGAAACCTCTCTACTCACGCCTCTTCTACTAATAAATCTAGGGCTAGAGAAGCGGGCTCGTCTCAACCATAGTAAGGGCCCGTCGAGATTTAGTTCTTAGCTCTTAAACGAGATTAATAGAGGTAGTCCGATCGTCTCCTCGTAGACCCGTTAGATCTGTCGCTACTAGAGTAACTTACGCGAAAGTATTTACGGAAAGGTTATTTACTATACGATATATATCTTTAATATCTTAGGCTAGCGTAATATTTCCGGGCGGCTACCGTCGATAGCGAAAATTCCATATTCACGATTTCCGAGTATAAAGAGCGGGAACTTATCGCTATAGGCCGACTTACCTAGGAGAGGTAACTTATAATAATAGCCTCTTAAGCGCTAGATAGGATAGAAGAGGAAACGCCTAGTCGTTCTATAAAGCAGAGAATATTATAAGGAACTTTTTAAGCTAATATAGGTACTATATAGCCCGGAATAAGAGGCTATTAGAGATATAAGCGATACCACCCCGAGAGAAAGCTCTTAGAAGATCTAAAGAAATAAGCAGTATATCTTATATCTATCTTTGAACTATATAGGGATTCTTGTAGTCTTTATCGTAGGAAGACGTAGAAAGAAATATTATTTTAGGTAGATCTTCTTAGGAAGTTAGGGTATTTAGAAACCCCGGAATAAAACCTTTATTCTAAGAGCGTAATCCTTCTGATAGAATCCTCTTAAGAGGAAATTAGTCTTAGGAGGCCCGACCGAAGAGAAAATACTATATAAGAAGACCTATATTATATAAAACCCTTCTTAGTATAGGACCTATCCTATAACGGTGGTCTTAGTCCTAGCCTAGTTATAAGCCGGCTTACGCTATTAGCTAATTTATTTTAGTAAGGCGGTTATTAGTTCTATTTATTATAAAGAGATTCGATTATAGATATCCTTTAGCCGGGGCTCCTGCTATCTTACGAGTAATCGTTACTTTAGCTCTCGGTAATCTCTACGAATTTAATCATTTTCGTAGTCTAAAATCTTCCCCCCCCCCCCCCCCCCCCCCATACAAAAACAGAATTTTAAGCTCCGCTACCCGTCGCCTTTCTAGCTAGCGGGCAAAGGGGTATCTAGGAATCTATCCGAGTATAGAGATTAGGAATGATATTAGTATAAGAGGCTCCCTGTTTTATAGTATTACCTTCTAATTAGCCTCTTAGGGACGCTTACTAAGAGGTTAAGGTTAGATGAGTTTCACGATATCATTAACGAACTAGATATACGCTTAGGGGCGGTATATCTAGGTACGTAGGGCCTCTATAGATTTAGGAAGAGCGTTTTCTAGCCTATATAGTCCCCGAGCTAGAAGAGATATATATCTAGTACCTAAAGGCTAGTAATATAATAGAGCTATAGAATTATATCTAGGCGGGCTTCGAGTCTGGAGATATAGGTTAGTTATAGGGATACTATGGTAGGAAGGCTTTAGCTTTAGGTCCTATAACCTAGAATAGTTAATTCGAGGCTACCGATAAAGGCTATAGATATAGATCTACTTTAGATATACGTCCTTATCTCTAGGTCTGTACTAGCTTCCGACTTATTCGATAGCTACCTACGTATTATAAGGGATTCACGAGGGGGCCTTAAGTAAGGAGTGACTATTAGTCTATTATATTCCTTACCCTACTAAAGAAGTAGATTACTATACTATAGTAGCCTTCTATTCGGTAATACTTACTAAGAGAAGATAGCCTAGGGCCCTAGCTCGAAGGACCGAATATATAAGTAGCCTAATAGTATATAATCCTTAAGGAGAATTCACGGGTTTAGGGCCCCGCTCCTTACGAACGGATATTCTATTAGCTAACTAGGCTTATTACCTGCTAAAGCGGGTTACGATTAAGGTAGGGTAACGTAAGTCTACTATAGCGGCCTCCTATTCGTTTACCCTTTCGTAGGAAGACTCCCCTACGAACGCCGCCTATAGCTAAGCTCGGGGTAGGCCGTAGGCGAACGTATTCTAGAGGCTATTTAAGAGTTACTCTTTCTCTACCTCCTCGACCTTTAAAACGTATAACCTTCCTATATATATTTAATAATCTTATTCTACGTTTATATTAGCTATAATACCTTATTATCTTATAAGTATCTATATACCTTTATAACCGTATATTTTTAGCTTATCTATTCGATTTACTAATAGGTTAAATACTACGAAGGCGTTCCGCCCGAAAACGTTAATTAGTACGTCTTCTAATCTAGTAGATCCTAAAATTACGAACTAATTATCTATTTTCTAGAATTAAAGAATTCGTTAGACGTAATAGAGGCGAGATTCTAGAGGACCTTAAAAGTTTGAATAGCTTTTCGTAGATATAGAGTTTTCAGAGTATTACGTATATATTACCGTACTAAGCTTACTATACTATTTATAGTACTAATATCTCCGAAGATCTCGTAGCTTATTTAAAATCCTACGAGGTTATAGAAGATATTAAGATCGATCTATAGGCGATATATTAATTATTAATAGAAGATATACCGGCCTATCCTATACTAGAGGTACTAGACGATATTATATTATAAGAGAAAAAGCGCCTTATTCGATATCTAGGCCTCGAAACTACCCTAGATCGATAACTATCGGATATATCCTATACCGCGCCCTCCTTATTTTTTATCGAATCTGCCCCGAATTCTATACGTAGCACGAAATACCGACTTCCGGGTTATAATCGAATAATATAACCGGGTAGCCTACGCCTCGCTATATATCTAGGAATAGATTAGGGGTCCTAGGAAAGATATAATATATATATATAAACCCTTCTCCTTAGCTAGCTTCGCTAGACTTCTAACGCCGCTTAACTTTAGTATTATACTATATAGTTTACTTCGAGAAAATCTTCGATTTCTCCCGAGTCGAATTCCTTAACCGCCTTTAACCTCTAATAAGGAATACTTTTAAGTTCCGGGGCGTAAATATTAGAGGAATTCTGGATAGTAACTATCTTGTTACTAGCGGAGTAGAGCGACTTATACTAGAGTAGAAAGTTACCTATAGGAAGTAGGCTAATAAGCGCGATAGCTTATATAACGAGAATAAAGATAGACTTCTCGCAGATTTCGAGTCTTTGCTACGCTAAGTAGGGTTAGCTACTTATCGGGGATCTAAAGTCCCTAATAGTATAGATCGATTTAAGTATTATAACCTTATTACTACCCTAGCTCTGAATAAGAGCGATAGTCCGGATAATAAATCGGAGTAGAATTTATTTAATAAATACCTTAACTCTAGTATATAAGCGTTAGATAACCTATATAACTTAAGCTCTATACTCCGATACTAGTAGAATAATATAGTAAGTTCGGCTTCGAGTATATATTATATATTCTAAGAAAGATAACTAATAGGGAGTTTTTTGTAAAAGTTCCTAGCTAGCGAGGAGGAAGCTAATTTAAACGAAGTCTAAATAAAAGTAAGGTATAGCTTAGGAGAGAAAGTAATTCGAGCGCTTAAGCGGTTATCGGGTATTCTAATACTAAATATATAGAGTTTATTTCTCTACTAGTTAATTTATCTTCCGATTCCTATAAATCTAAATAAATATCCGATAAAGTTTCCCTATCCTCCGCTTCCTTTCGATCCTTAATTTAACTTACCGAATAAAGATTTAAAGACCTTCGCCGATATCCTTCGAATATTCTAAGCCCTCCCTAATTATCGCTTTATTTATATTCTTCTCCTAAATCTCTAATTTACTCCGACTACTTCTATATAAGGACGGTATAACGTTACTCTCTAAATTCTAATAAAGAACGAGGAGAATCCCCTTATAAAGGATATCTAACGAGGAATTTAATATCTTAGCTATATAATCGCGTATAATATCGTCCGTGAATCTTCTATAATAAAGTATAATAGTTAAGTAGGAAGCTTAAGTATTAGCTAGTACTATACTAGCTAACCCCTCTCTGCTTAAAAAGATTAATAAATTATTTACTTATAATATAGGAGAATATATTAATTTACTATAATTAGTTATAGTTAGAGATTAATCTAGCGGGAAAAGCTCTATCTTAGAGAGGCTAATAAAATTAAAATTTCCTCGAAATAGTAGCTTATATACCCGATTTACGACGTAGATTATATTTCGGAGAGATCCGAGCTTAAAAATACAGAAAGTTACCGGCTTTATTATCTTAATAACCTATAACGATAGAAAGGAAAATACTAGTTAGAGTATATCTAATATAGAGGTACTAAATAAGATAGAGTTTAAGAAAATAATAACTAAGATTAGTCTATTCGTCTGGATCTTATAATAAATATAAGAACTAAGTTTACTAAAGGTTCACGAAGCGATAGGCTTATTAACGTTAGTAGGAGAAAACCTACCTATTTTTTCCTCTAATATTCTTCGGCTAGAGATTTATAGACCTTATAAAAATTATCTTAGTATAATTAATATTCTAGGAATTTTCAAAACTATAATACCTAGCTTAACTTTAAAGTTAGATATTACTCTTATAAGGGATATAGTACTTAACTATATACGAAATCCGCGGTTAATAATACTCGCTATTATACTAGTAAATATCGATATTACTATATAAGAGATTATTAAAATATCTAGAGAGTTAGATCCGGATAGAATAAGAACCTTACGGATCCTTATAAAACTAGATCTTATCGATAAAGGAACAGAGAATAAGATTATTGAATTTATCGAAGGGAAGTAAGAGTCTTAAGAACTAGGCTAGGTAGTAGTTAGAAACCTTAGCTAGAGAGACCTTTAAGACCTATCAAAAAACCGCGATATTAAAGAAGAGATCTTTCGTAGTTTACCTCCTTAGAATCGCCTCTTAAATAATAACTATAGTATCGAAGCCCTAAGAACACGACTATAAGTACTTTTAGCTTTAAACGTACGGCGGGAATTTCTATTAGTAAGTTTATCTATAAGAACTATTATATAAATCTAATCTATAAATAGATAATAGGTTCGTTCTAAGGTTTCGAAACGTTATAAAGAATATAAACGGTTACTTAAAAGCCTCGGAGACGAGTATAGGTCTCCTAAGTAATAAAG